TTTTATTGTAATTGTTGTTGTAATTGTTTTAGGTTTTAGTGTTATTGGTTTATTGTGTTGTTAAATTAGTGCATGTTATTTAATTGAATTATTAAAATGATTCAAAAATTAATAACTACAAAAGTGTTCACCCAACTTTCTACCCAATTAATTTAAATAGAAGTCGGGTAGAAATACCACACCTAAACAGGTAGAGTAGGTCAAGAAAAAAAATTCGCAAAGTATCGGATAAGAATACGAAAGACCATATTTCCTACCTATGGGGTTAGGTGAACACCCCTACTTTCACCAATGCTATCGGGGTCTTAGCTACTCGCTTTTGAACGATCTTCTACCGCCTTCTGAGTTCTAGCCATAGAGTGTCTTTCAGACTGGGTTGTTGTTGTTGCCCTTGTAAGCAATCCTTGTTGGATAGTCTTACCTCATCTCAATGGAGAGTCATGTGTCTTATCTAGACTGCTGGCAGCCTTAGCTAAAGCCACAATAACATTGGGATCAAATGCATTATTCCTTGAACAAAGATGAACAGACACTGTTTGGGACATCAACTAAATATAGACCTAACTTTGACATTACATGCACAAATTGGCTACCCTCATATTCCAAGCTAGCCTAAATGTGTTACCACTGAACCAGACAATATTGTCCTTAGCCTGTTACTAGAATTTTCAAAACAAATAAATGCCAAAAAAATTCCTTCCCAAATCTCCATCTTGACCATTTTACTAAACTAAATTCTAATCCGATCAAAAGTTCTTTAAAAAGAGACAAGCACTTGGCTAGGATACACATCTCTACAATTATTCTGCTTGTGTGCCAATATGAACATAAAGACCAATTTTCTTAGACTTGCCTAGCCTTGTGTACAAGGTTTTATACTAATTTTCAACCTAAAACCAAAATGGTATATTTCACAGGAGACAGAAGATTCTCACAATGGAAAGGATCAGTTGTTGACTCAGTAATAGGAGTGTTTCTCACGCAGAATGTTTCAGACCATCTTTCAAGGTAAGTCAAGATTGTAACAATGTCATAAAGATCAAATGCCCTAGAGATATGGGCGCCAAAGGTTCAAGTGAATCGAGTCACAGAAATAGCCTCTCCACATGCGGAGATAAGGCTGTGTACATCTAACCCTACACAGACTCTACTATGGCAGAAGCATTGTGCACTGGGTCGCCCAACCAATGCCCTAGAGAGTAAAAGTTGAAACCATACAAATTGATTTCTCATAACGATTTTTCACCCTTTGTATGCAGCTCTGCCTTCATGTCTCTTGCAGCCAAATTCCCCCTTCAGTCAACAAGCATCAGCCATACAGGCTACCAAAATGGGATAACTATAGTTGCTGAAGAACCAGAGGTTCAGATACTAAGTCCAGTTGCTAGCTTTAACTATCAAGAAAAAATAAGAAGGCAGCCCATATACAACCAAATCTCTGTGACATCCTGTGAAACATCGGAGCACAGAACAGAAAATCTGGCCTCACAAACAGGAACTAGCTTATTCAATGAGCATCACAGGAGAGCAGATGAAGATGTCATTACATCACAAAATTCTTTTGACTCTTCTATTTTTCAAGCCACTGAAGAAATCAGATCCAGTTCAGGGTCCAACTCAGAAGCTGAAGATCCAACTGGATGCCAGCCCAACAAAAATTGCAGTCCTACTCTAAGTAGTGTTCTGCAGACAGAAGAAAAAGCTGTGTTCCAGGAATTTTTCGGTCATGCATTTGGGAACTCATTATCACATGAGAGGCACCTTCATGGGCATCAGCAATTGGAAATTCCAGAATGTAACATGCAAAATTCAAGAATGGACAGAGAAAATAACCTGAAAGTCTCTTCTCCATCTGCTTATCCCATCAATTCTGAGATTCTCCATATGCAAGAATCTATTGTTCCTTCCACTAATTTTTGGTTGAGCATGATGCTAGAATCAGGAGGACAGGAAGTAGAGCGCTTTGAAGAGTCAGAAGAAGACAGTATATTTTCTTTGCTTTCAGCTAATTCTGGAAATACAATGCCAAAAAGTGAATACCACATGGGAAACAGGATGGGACACATGGAAGAAAGTACAAGTAGACAAAGCGCTCAACAGAATAAAATGCCAACGGTTCAAGCATCAGCAGTGGTTTCAAGTGCATCTCTGAACATGCACCCCATACACCAAGGTGATTTACAATCACGGCCTCATACCAGAAATAATGAACATTCCATTAACAATCATCAAGAAGAGCGGTTCAAGAATTTTTATGTGGAAAGCACATCCATCACAGAACCCACAAGGCCTACTGAAGAACTGGCTAAAAGGAAAACCAGTTCTGAGCAGCAACTTTCTGTCAAGCAGAGGATTTCAGCAGAGTATAAGCAAAAATTCTGGGAGAATAAAGCAGTTGCAACAAATGCAAAAGGGAAAAAATATTCTCCAGGTGATCCAATCAACGGGGAAGGCACCAATATCGCAAATGCAAGAAAGAGAAACACTGAGGGCGAACAGAGAAAAGCATTTGACTGGGATACCTTAAGAAAGCAGGTGCAGTCCAGCAGTAGAAGAAGAGAAAGAAGTAAGGACGCAATGGACTCGCTGGACTATGAGGCAATAAGACGTGCTGATGTTAATGAAATCTCTGATGCTATTAAGGAACGTGGAATGAACAACATGCTAGCAGACCGCATTAAGGTATAAGTCTGAGTTCATATTTATTTTAATCACTTCTAATGACTCACCAATGGGACATTGCTCAAGAAATATAGAAACCCAAAAATTTTGCTAATATTGGTTGCACCATTCTTCAGGATTTTCTTGATCGATTGGTCAAAGACCATGGAAGCATTGACCTAGAATGGCTGAGAGATGTTCCCCCAGATAAAGCAAAGTAAGCTCTGAAGCTAATTATTGTATAGCATCCTTTAAAATGACTAGAAACTTGTAATCATGCACGTGTCTACAGAATTGTGTAATACAAAGGCCATCACACCTAACAGCCATAGATATGACACTTCCATCAGTTTTTTTTTTTTTTTTTTTTTTTTGTAAATTCTATTATCTGACTCCCATCAATATTTTCCTGTCCAGGGATTATCTGTTAAGCATACGGGGATTAGGGCTGAAAAGTGTGGAATGTGTGCGGCTCTTAACACTTCATAATCTCGCTTTCCCGGTACAGCTCTTGGAGACTACTCTCTATCCAAAACATTGATGACAATGACAAGAATAATAAGTGGGAACTAGCACTAATTATAAACCTTCCAAATGGAAAATCAAATCTTATACTCAATTTTATTTGTTAGGTTGATACAAATGTTGGGCGGATAGCTGTGAGACTAGGATGGGTCCCTCTCCGACCCCTCCCTGAATCACTCCAATTGCATCTCCTGGAGCTGTAAGTAACATAAGCCAACTGATCAGCACTGAAATTTTTCGCTATACACAAATTCCAATTATGTTTTCATACAGGTACCCAGTGCTTGAGTCAATTCAGAAATATCTTTGGCCCAGACTATGCAAACTGGATCAGCGAACATTGTAATTTATTCACTCATTCCTAGACCCATCTATATCAATTTAAGGCACTTTATATTTTGTATTGACACTGAAGTTAAAAAAGTTGTGTCTACACATACGCCTTGGCATTCACCTACTAATGAACTATCCAACTGTAGGTATGAGCTACACTACCAGATGATTACATTCGGAAAGGTAAGCTATTATATTGAAGATGGAAACAATGTCTGACGAAAAGAAAGAATAGGACTCTTCTAAAGGCCTCATTCTTCAATGATGATGCAGGTTTTTTGTACCAAGAGTAAACCAAATTGCAATGCATGTCCAATGAGGGGAGAGTGCCGACACTTCGCAAGCGCTTTTGCAAGGTTTTGCATTCTGCCCAACAATTATGTGTGCCTAAAAGTGATTGCAACATGAAACTTGGGATCTTGACCCCTAAGTTCAAGCCCTCTAGAAGTTGCAAGTACCAGTAGTTTACTCATATGATCATGCCAGTGTGCTCACAAGACCTCAATTATATTATTTTTAGACTTGCATGCTGCTAGTGCTAAACAACCATCTACCCAAAAGCTTAAAGTGTTGGAGAGGGTGTAACTAGTGCTGAAAAGGGTGTAACTTAAGTATTTATACTTCAATACTCTCCCTCATGTGTAGGCTAAATTTTGAGTCTAGCATATGAAAATCTTTTAATAATTAAGGTGGTAAGAAGATTCGAACACAAGATCTCGTGCTCTAATACAATGTTCACCAATCATCTACTCCAAAAGCTTACATTATTAGAAAGGATCTAAACTAAATATTTATACTTCAACACATGTCAATTCATATATCGTCTGCAGGTCTAAATACCCTGAGATCCAAACTTTTGGAGCATAGACCATACATAATTCAGGCATAAAAGTCCAGTTCTCTAATTTTTCAGTCAAGAGAGATCTTAAAAGCAAAAAAAAAAAAAGATAAATAAATAAATAAAGCAATGTTAGCATGAATTGATAAGATGCAGGAAAACTAAAGAAGAGACAAGGTCAATAGGTTAATTGCCTTTGTAATTTAGGGATAGGAGAGAGCAAATCCCTTCTTTAGATGATCTCCTGATTTGTCCTCCCCCGTTCAAGACTATATGCTCATTCAGATATGCTACAAAACATGATAATAGCAATGAACTCTACTTGGTGCAGTGCAAGGCTTGCCCTCCCAGGGCCAGAAGAGAGAAGTATAGTGAGTTCAACTGCTCCCCTAGCATCGGATAAATACCCTGTAGTGCTCAACCCCATGGCACTTCCTCCAGCAGAAACCAACTTGATTAGAGAGGCAGAGTTCGTGAATGGCAAGTGTGAACCTATTGTTGAGGAACCAAAAACACCAGAACAACCCATAGAAATATCAGAAAGCGACATTGAGGATGCATTCTATGAGGATCCTGACAATATCCCAACAATCAAGCTCAACCTTGAAGAATTCACCCTGAATCTACAGAACTATATGCAGGAGAACATGGAACTCCAAGAAGGCGATATGTCCAAAGCACTAGTTGCTTTGAATCCAGAAGCAGCCTCTATCCCTACACCCAAGCTAAAGAATGTCAGTCGATTGCGAACAGAGCACCAAGTGTAAGTATCCAAAGTTCCATGAATAGCAATATTATAAGAACAACAGATGTTGTCTAATGTCAGTTTTTTTATCAGACACTATTCAACAAATTAACTAGAGTACAATTGATTGGTTAAGCCATTCATAACAATTACAAGGTCTGTACACATATATGCCTCCCAGCACTCTCAGTAAGTAAGGATGAAAACTGAAGAATGACCGGGTTTTTTTTTTGTTATACCTTGCAACTGCTATAAATCAAAACTCAAAAGCATTATAAAAGCAAATATCCTGCATGAGGCACAATAAATATTGTAATCCTGCTGCAGGTATGAGCTTCCAGATTCACACCCTCTCCTAAAAGAGGTAAGTTTTTCATCCTTTTTTCTCAGAAATTTTCTTTGCATGAATGCAACTTAACTTTATCACAATTGGCTTTCCTAATCCTATATTCAGCTGGATAGACGAGAGCCTGATGATCCAAGTCCATACCTTCTTGCAATATGGACACCAGGTAAATGCAAAACAGTACACAAGATGTTACAACTCTGCATACTACAAAAGTTGTCTCAGCATTGATCCATAACGTGCCATGCAGCATTAGGCTGCAAGGAGCTGAAATATCTGATTTGGATCTCACTATAACAAAAGGATTGTGCTTAAGCCAGACTACCATTTGATTGATATCCTATAAGTCACATTATAATCAGACTGAAGAATGCTATTTAATGATCTATTGGATCATATAATCTTGTACTCCACTAATCATCTGCGCCCAATTCGGCACCGTTCATACCAGGTGAAACTGCAGATTCAATTCAACCTCCTGAAAATAGGTGTGGGGCCCAAGGACTAGGAAATCTGTGCAGTGAGACAACGTGCTTTTCATGCAATAGCATAAGAGAAGCAAATTCACAGTTTGTCAGAGGGACTGTTCTGGTGAGGAAATCCTAAAGCTTAGATGCATAATCACAATCTTCACATGTAATAGTACCGTTGCTGACTCTAAATGAGTTTGTGTTGCTGATATATATCTCATCACAGATACCATGTAGAACCGCAATGAGAGGGAGTTTTCCACTCAATGGCACATACTTCCAAGTTAATGAGGTAAATCTAAATCTGGCTAAGCATCAGACTTTATCACTTGTCACCACCAGGATAATGATACTGGCACCTAACCAAATAAAGTCTGCATTTCGATGAGAACAAGAGAAAAAAGAATTTAATCCCATGCATTTTGAGGTCATTGTATTATAAAACATGATCTATGCATTTGCAGTTATTTGCGGATCATGAATCTAGCCTTAATCCAATCGACGTTCCAAGAGCTTGGATATGGAACTTGCCAAGAAGGACAGTGTACTTTGGAACCTCTGTAACGACAATTTTCAAAGGTAACCTAGAGACGGTTTTGTCATTAACAACCTGAAGTATTATTTTCTAACTTTGAGAATCAAGTTGAACAATGTCTTAAAATTCGTATTGTTTTCTAGGTCTGTCAACAGAAGGAATCCAATACTGCTTCTGGAGAGGTACAAAACGCTCCCTTATCTGCTTTACTTGTTTTTGCTCTTCTTATTGTTCAATGTTAAAGCTTCATTATATGACGACATACTACTCCACAGAAAAATTAACAAAAAAAATTCGTGACATACTAAATTCTTCTTGATATAAATGTTAAACAAAAGCACAAAGGTTAAGGAGTTAATTAGATAGATTAGTCATGTAATGGCAAGAGTCTATAACAGCTGTGCAACATCTGTGTCATAATCTCATCAACTCTAACAACTGGTTAACTTAGCAAAATCCTCATATATGGCTGATACTTGTAAGCGAATTGAAAACTGTCCATCAAATAATAAGGGAGATATATAGAGGGCTGAATAGGACTAATGGCAGTTTTCAATTAAATTCTGAGCCAATAAGGTCACTTTTTAACAAATACTCAAATCAAGGGCAAGTTGATTATTTTAGCACATGGCTACTCACATTAGGATGATGAATAAAAATAAGTTCAATTATGAGTAGCTTTATGATCGCCGATTAAATTCTAGGTGAGTTCTGCTACAGTCAAAGCATATACGGTTGTTCTTGCAATGACCTGCTCACTGGGTCTCAGCCAGCCAACTGAAATCCAATTGTAGGTTTTAGTGAACTGGCTGGTTCCAGTTCTGTGAACCCCCTTTTCAGGTCAATCACTGTTTTTGCAACCCAATTTTTCTCAAATTTAATCTTCAGAGTAACAAATTTGTGTGAGTTCCATTATATGCAATTTAACTGATATCAAGTATTATTACACTTTGTTAAGCATTCAAACTCATACCTATATAATGACCCAAAAAAAAAACTCATACCTATAAGTTCATAGACAAGTATTAAATGATAAACAAGTATCCAATGAAGAATAAAGCCATCTCACAATATGCAGTTGTTCAGCCACCTTTAATGTAACCCACGCCCACTGTTTCCACCACCTAGGTGAATGTCACTCAACTAAATGGGATTTTCAAGGACCCCAGCTAACCCTGTGGACAACTACAAGGTCAATCCACTAGCCGACCAAGATAACCCCTCTCAAGACACTACCAGGAATTTCTTGAAGGTTTCGTAGTCTAACTTACAACCTATCCAGTCTCTCAGCTTATACACTTTGTAATAAGCTCACTCAATTCCTTAAAAGCTCCACCTAAAGTATGCCTACCTAACAATAAGTTGAATACCATGTGAGAGGCATATAAAGAGCACAACTAACAAGAATATAAAGAATTACACCTTGCTCAATTGAGTGCAACAACCAAAAATGTTGTATTCAAGGATAACATCTACATTGTTTTTTGACATAAGAATAAAATGGTCAAATGACCTCCAATCACCCTAAGGGGTCCTATTGTGAAAATAGGACAAATGGGACCCTTGACCATAAAAATCATCTGAAAACACAATATTGCTCCTTATACTAAAAGGTGTGGCAGTTGGCTAACGTATATTTTTTTGTAACTGACACGTCTAGTCAACTGTCTGAAGACCAGACTTGCATATTCTTTGCAATTCAACTTGGAACAAACCAGCCTAACCTAGGGACATTTGCACATGCCTGATATGTTGCCTTAACTAACCTAGGCACTACTCCCATTTGGATTGAAATCTGTTGGTTGATGAAGTTTGCCTTGCCTTAGCTCGGTAGATTTTTTCCCTGAACTTTGAAGCCACAATAAATCACCCAATGTTCTTGAGGCTCGTACTTGGATTCCAAATGATGTTATCTTCATAAGTCATGAAAATTCCCTGATGCTCTCCTAGACCTAACATAATACAGTGAGTCCCATGGCCATAAAAAGAACAATCGCATGACATCCTTGAAGAATAATGCTTACAAATTCTAATTAGAGTTTACCTTGTTAAGAGATGCCATTGAAAGCACTTATAACCAATATTTGAGAAGGTATTATTATTTTTTTCTGCCTGATGTTGTTTGCCACACATTTTGCAGGATTTGTTTGTGTGAGGGGATTTGACCGGAAAACAAGAGCACCACGACCTCTCATGGCCAGATTGCATTTTCCCGCTAGTAAGTTGGCAAGGTTAAAAAATGAAGAGAAATAAAAGGTGGCCAAGATGCAAAGAGGGTTACCAATTTAAGGTACTAACCAAGATTTATCCCTTCAAAGAAGAGAGAAGACAGCTGAGTAGGAAAACAAGATGGATGACTAACAAATTCTTGCACATTCTATTGCTCCTCCTCTAACATGAGGTGCATTTCAGATGTAATTCAGGCAGCAGAAAGAAATTTTCAAGTTAATTGGTGATATCCACCAATGAGTGGGCATTAGGCTGTAGATGATTAAAATTATAATTTTTTTTTCCAATTCATGCTCAAGAAATGAGCCATTTTTCAGATGTTAGCCAGTGTTAGAGAAACAGACAGAGGTCTCTTGAGATATAGTTAATACACAATCCCCCTACATTTGTGGAGTAGTTGCAAAAAGGCAGAAATTACATGAGTTTCTTCAAAGCAATGTTCCTCAACGTTTCTTCTGTTATTATTGACAGTGGAAAGCATCTATGTCCACCTAAATATAAATCATAAATATTCCAAAAATCAACTCTAGAGCTATCTTACAAGTATGATTGACGAATCATGACCACGATGGTTTCTAGGAGAAAAAAAATAAAAAGTTTTTAGGTAAAGTGCCCACCCTAGACAAAATTTTTTGCTCCGCCCCTGCTCTAAGCCATAGTTCATGCCTTCTGTCAGCAAACAATGTGTTATGTGCACAAAAAAGACTATACGACATTTTTTGACATGACACGAATATTATATAATATATAGACATTTCATGTACTATCTACAGTTGCTTAAGAAGTTCAATCAATTTTTCCTTCTCAATCTTAAAACAAACTTCAATAGACCCTATTATCAGCCCCGTGACCACAGTATCCTAATTCTACCACCTTTACATCCTTTTTGGGCAACCTAAGCCTTGAGATACTGAAAAAAATACATTCCCCGTGGAGCAGGATAAATAAAACTCATTCCTCAATACAGGGATCTAGAAAAAGAAGGTTAAATTTCCAATAACAACTAATTACCCAAAACCAAAAAACTTAAAAGAGAAGAATCAATCCCGAATAACACAATTACAGGAGAAACTTTTCTCCTACAAGTACAGACGTTACCATAAATCATATCCATTTCAAACTTCTAATAGTGGGGTGATGCTCCTTAAACTAAACTAGATACTGAATAAAATCATAAAGCACACCAAGTTGATTCATTTTTGTTAAAGTTGTAACTGGTTTCCAATTGGCATTTTCTTGGGGAATCTAAAGCAAACTCTTTTGAATTTACAATAATTGGTAGAAAGATTTCAGGTGTGATTCTAATGAAGAATCTATCAACTCCAACATATAGACAAATGGATGATGCTGCATGCCCATTTGTGAAATATGTATGGTTTTATTCTACAGGTTCAAAAGAAATGAATAAGTCAATTGAATTGCAAAAAGGCCCGAACAATGGTAGGGTGGATGGAGATGTTCCACAGCAAAATTAAATGTGGTAACTATGAGCATATGCTAATAACATAGGTATCGTTACAAGAATACAATAGGGAAAAGTCTTGCTACAACATAGCATTCTAGTGTGCTAGTCTACGTGGATGATGTTTATGCTAACAACCATGTGGTTGTAAAGCCAAAATGCAATGACAATGACAAAGAAACTGACTCCTGACTCCTGTCCTATTTTCTTCTCTGTGGGTCATAATGCATCTAGATATGAATGAACAAGACTGAATTCTAGAAGCTTGTGGTACACGTATGAATTCCTATGTACCATCCTTGATATAAAGGGGAGTTCCTGTTAAAAAATGAACTATATCTGGTTTACACTACCAAATTCATTAGGACACAAAAACAACTAACAACAAAGCAAATATAAAATAGGATATGACAAATGTTATGAGAATCATTAGCTTTTTGTCACTTCCCGCCTTCTAGAAGTTTTCAAAGAACCATATAATGGGGTTCCTTATTTTAGTCTCACTTAAACAAACATTCTACAGAATAGTGGAGAGATAAGGAGGAGCCTAAAAAGCCTAGAACATTCTAGTGTATAGTACATACTTACATACACTTGGAAACATCCTAGGCCAAATGCCTACAAATAGAAATGAATTCTCAATTGCAACCACCAAGTCTCATGTTGTAATTTTTCTTAGGCAACAGACTACTATTTTTAATTTCAGAAAGCAAAAATTCTTTGACCAATTCCAATTTTGTAAAAAAAAGCACCCTTGTAATAATTTTTAAGTTTAGCTAAAACCATAACGCAATAAAATTAGTTATATTAATACAGAACACACGAATGTTTTTATAAACTAACGATTCATTATTTTGCACGTTGATCCATGTTTTTCTAATAAAACATCACCAACAATATTGACAACATAAACATAATCTAGAAGCCTTCAAAATCTACACATGAAAATTCAAAATATTTGTTTTCACTCTCACTTTTGTCTTTATTCGTAATTCTTAAAATCAAATTTAAACTTTAGTTAATGAATCAAGAATTTATAGATTTTCTAAACGACATTCCAAGTGTCGTATAAGAATATATCATCCCTCTAGTCTCTTGTAACACATTACAAATTGTCTTCATATATGTTTCTTATTTATACTAATGACGAATAAAACAAAAAACTACAAGCAAAATACAAAGATATCCCATAAAACCTTTAAAAAAATAACTTAAAATTTTTCATGAAAAGATTTAAAGATATTTTTTAATCGAGTCATAATTACCAACCTACATACATTGAGACGCATCGGGTAGTTGATTCACATCTGTAGACAAACTGAATATCATGACATATGTATAATTACAAAAATCAATTCATGGTTGAATTGCTGACAGCACGGAATGTGCAAAAGACGATGGTAAAGAATGAGAGAGGCAATTACTTGAGGAAAACATGGGGTGGAAGATGATACTACTCAAAAATGTCAGAGCACCACCATACATACACATGCAGTTACTGTTAAAGGAACTTTGATCCAATTCAAGAATTTGGTTCTACAAGTTTAATTGTTAATAGTTAAGAATAATTCATGTTTGTCTTAGACACGTGAAGACAATGAATGCTTCATGGACACTCTAACACACGTATTCAATGCCGCTTTTGGTCAAGTCCATCTAAGGTATTAAAAATTTAACTCCTTTCACACTTTTGACACTTCTTGGACTGTCATTCGTATGTAATAATTAACAAGAATAAAAAGTTGGGATATGATTTTCTCTTAGGATGAACAGAAATAAAATTTGAATCAAAGATCTGTACAAGATTATTAACAAATTTCTACTGTTTCTAAAAGGAATAGTATAAACACGTGGACGTTTACCAAGAAATGGAGCCATGAGGAGAAGATTGAGTGTAATCATGCATACTCACTAAGCTTTATTCAAATTTCATGTATTAGAATTGATTGTTTTGATTTACAAGTTAACAAATTTCATGTCACAACAGTAGGTGTAAGCTTTACTTTACATTTCAAATAGGAATAATGGTTGTTTTTATATAAATTCATCCATAATAATAAAGATATCCATATACACACTCACCCATTTATTTCTTCTCATCCATGTCCTACTATATTAGGTTTTTTTTGTCTCACCAACCTAGCCAAATTCGTAGTTCAGATTTTAGTAGAGATTCTTCCTAATCAAAAGAGGATATAACTCTTCCTTACTCGAAGAGGATAGAGCAAAATCAGTAGACCAACTTGAATAATGAAATTTTTATAATTTACATAGTATATTATGATGGCATGGGCTCTTTATGTGCCATTTATTAGAAAGCTTTTGCTTGCTTCGTTTTACTATACAAAGAAATTTCCATTGAGAGCAACCTAAAGGAATAATCTAAACTGGATTTGTGCAATGATGCTGACTTGTTTGAGTTAAACTCTTCGAATTCTTAGAGAATCGACTAAAAATTTCTTAGAGAATTGATTTAAAGTTTCTTGTAAAGTTGTACTCATTCTTATTATATCGTTATACCACATCTATATCCATGAATCATAGCTCTTGCAAATATTGTAAGCAAACTACTTTAAAAAATCCACAAGAGATGAACCAGCTTTAATGGGATCAAAAGACTTATACACGTCGAGGTTTCAACTTCAGTGTTATTGAGACTTCTACAACAATCAAATGATTTTCATGAGTCAATTAAACAAATTAAACATGTCTTCACCAAAATATAGATCTATTATAAATGCTATGGGTGCTAAAGGTAAGTTTAGTACCATGACTTCTTCTTTAAGTCACTTCCCTCCCATGTACAAACCATGTTTTCATCTAAACAAAGTGGATAATAAAACTTAAAAGGTCACACCCATTGCAAAAAAACTCCCGCCTATAACAAAATCTGACAGAGGTAAGTGGTGGCAGCCTAACTAATTTCAGGGCTTGAACTAATGACTCATTGTTTGTGAGAATAAGTACTTACCAATCGCCATCACTCAAGTTCCGACCTTTAGCCCAAGTTGCTAAAGGTGGAGCATAAAAGTTACTGTGCTTCCCAAACAAAGCATATTAATAGTGACCATCTTTCATAGAAACAAAAATTGTAAATGTCGGTCATACTCCATAATTTTTTATCCCACTCCTTGATATGGGTTCTTAGCCCCATTTTCAAAGGCTTAAGAGAGTATGCATTTTCAAGCCATAAAAAAGTAGTAGCTACAAAATCCATCACAACCTTTAGCCTATGCTCCTCGACTAAAGCTAATAGTTTCTCAACCGGAAGACTTAATCACAACCATCATATATTTGATCAGAACACAAAAGCACTAATTTCGAATCATACAACACAAAAATATATATATATATTGGACTGATCAGCATAAACCCTTTTTCGGAATGCTCAATTTATCCAAGATTTTCATCATTAGGCACTCAAATAAAGCATAGAATTTTTTGCCCTTTTATCTAATAATCCAAAAAAAAATCATAAACATAAGTTAAAGATTTATTGGTGTTTTCTATTTTATTCTCAGTTATCTCAACTTCACTGAGAAAAAAAATAAAAAAAGAACAGTGGAATTAAAAGACGAAATAACTGGGATTTAAGATTGACAGATCAAAAGAACTGAGATTGAAAGATGCTTACCGGTTTTACATTGATCGAGTCCATGGAGAGTAAAAGTCTAAGCTTGTACATCTACTTCCAGATCAAGATCGAGATCGAGAGAGAGAGAGAGGGCATGGTGCTCTCTTTTTGCCGCCTTATATTTTGATTTTTGCCGCCCTGTCGCTCTCTCTCTCTCTCTCTCTTCTCTTGTTTTAATTCCGAGAGAGAGAGAAGGGGAGCGAAGAACTAAATTTACAATCGTATGCCTCTAGAGATCGAAACGTGGTAGGAATGCTAAATAATGGTAAACTAATCTGATCCATATAAATCATTGAATTTTAAGATTAAGTAAATAAACATTTATATAAATTACATGAAAAGACCAT